CCCTTCCCCCCTCCCCCCTCACCTCCTCCCCCTTTACCCAGGCCCAGACCCTCGCTGGTGGTTTGCACCAACTGCTACCGGTATTTGTGCGTTGTAGGTGAGCGGGTGTTTCCCTTCGTGACGTGTTTTGAATCACATCTCATTGCCCTTCCGCTTTCCCGTTCCCTACCTTTCCCCCTTTTCCCCCCCCTTCATTCCGGCAGTTCACATCCTCTTGGTTTCCTCGTGTGCGTGTACGTCATACCTTCCCCCCTCTCCCCCCCGCCCTCACCTGGAAGGCCCTCAACAGTGCCGCCGCCCCCACCCCGTGTAGAGGGGTATACACAGGCCGACCCAGGGGGCCCAGGGCCTCTCGCCGCCGCTCAGAGCTGACGTCGGCTGGGGGCAGGTACCGCAGCTGGCTGAGCCGGCGGTAGTAGGCGGAAGTGACGGTGACCCACGGGTCACTCAGCAGCGGTGAGGCCAGGAGCTCCTGCTCCGGGGGCAGCGGCCACAGCTCTAAATTGGCCTCAATGGCGGCGGCAATGCCGGCGTCGTGGGGCGGAATGATCTGACAGCCATTGCCCCAGTACACCTAGTTGGGGGTTGGGGGGAAGGGGGTGTGTTGGGGTCTTTGGCCGGTAGGCAGCGGGGGTAGGGAGTAAGGAAATCAGTCAGGGGAAAGGTAAGGAAAGGATAAGCTGACGGGGTTGTGAAGCGCGCGCATGTGTATGTGTGTATGTGTGTGTGTTGGTCCTCAGTGCTCAGTGTTCAGGGGCCACCCGCGCCCACCCGGGGCTGCCTCCGGCCCCAACTGCCAGGTGGGGTTAGGATACGACGTAATACACACATGTACGAATTTGTACACTTTACATACATACATACATAAGGCCAAGCACCTTGTAGCCGTTATACTCCTTGGGGTTATGAGACGCAGTGACCATGACGCCCGCCGCCGCCGCCAATTCCACCACCCCCGCCGCCACGAAGGGGGTGGGCACCATATTCCCGAACAGAGCCACACGCACACCCGCGCTGACGAACACTGCCGCAGTAATACGGGCGAACTCCAGAGAGCCGTACCGGCCGTCGTACCCTGGTTAAGAGGTTGCAGGCGGGTGCAGAGGGTGACGCAAGAGGGTTTCTAGTGACGTGTTTGAGCAGTCTTTGGTGGCTTTCCAGCAGTTCGTTAGCGGTTGGTTGACCGGTTTCGTTACTTAACAGTTGAGTTCTGGTTAGCGGTGCAGCCACAACTGTTTCGGCTAAGCTGGTTAGTTGCTTAATTTTTTACTTTCGTGCAGCATATCACGTCATAAGGCAAGGAAAAATAACATGTTCGGCTCTTCGTAATCCAATGCTACTAACAAGTTACAAGTTCCGCACACAAGTGCGGGTGTGTCCGTAAAAGCCGGGGGGCCCATGGACGTTGTATTGGTATTGATGCGGGTACGCGGGAGGTCATCTTCATTCTCCCTCGTCCGCTTCAGGGCGAAGCGCCTCAGCGCGACTTGCCTGGCCTCCCAAATTAGGGACTATACTAACGACATCATTATCAGTGTCTGTGGAGGCATGTACGGCAGGTAAAGGTAAAGGCTTGGACTAAATCAGCAATTATCTCAGCAATTTCTCAGCTCTGGCAGGCTAACCCAGGAATCATGTGCCGTGTGCCTGCGTTTTCCCCTGTCCCCCTAGGGTCGCCGTTCCCGCCTCATCCGCCTCCAGCGGCGGCGGCTCTATCTGCGTGTCTGTGTGTATGTCTGTGTGTGTGTGTGTCTGTGTGTGTGTGTCTGTGTGTGTGTGTCTGTGTGTGTGTGTCTGTGTGTGTGTCTGTGTGTGTGTGTCTGTGTGTGTGTGTCTGTGTGTGTGTCTGTGTGTGTGTCTGTGTGTGTGTGTGTCTGTGTGTGTGTGTGTCTGTGTGTGTGTGTGTCTGTGTGTGTGTGTGTGTGTCTGTGTGTGTGTGTGTGTCTGTGTGTGTGTCTGTGTGTGTCTGTGTGTGTGTGTGTCTGTGTGTGTGTGTCTGTGTGTGTGTGTCTGTGTGTGTGCTGACTCACCCACCACTACTCCCCCCCGGTTGAGCTGCTCGGGGCACTGCTGCTGCAGGTAGCGGCACAGCCCCTGCGCGGTCTGCTGCACCACCACCCCGTTCATGCGGGAGGTGCCGGGACCCAGCTTGCCACGCAGACCCGCAGTGCCTGCGGAGGGACCCGGGAAGGGGACCGGGAGCCCGGAAGGAACAAGAAGAACACCGCCGACATGAAAACAGACCACATCCGAGGCGGGGAGAGAGGGGGGAGGGGTAGAGGGAGGGGGAAAAAGCCAGAGCGAAGTGGGAGTGGGTGCTGAGGTCGCCTACGTGTCGCCGTGTGAGGCGGGAGGGCCCTGGATGGGGCCCCTGCGGTGTGGGGGGCTGCAGGGGCCAGGGAGGGGAAAGGAGAGGATCAGCGGGTGGAGAAGGGTGGGGCGGGAGTAGTAGCCGTGCGTGAGAGAGCAGAGGTGGCGGTTATAATGACATCAAGTGGTTCGGGGTAAAAGCAGTACGCGGAGAAAAGGGCAGTACGCGGGAAGGTAGGATGTCATGAGGTGTGCGGGATTGAATGGATGGTTGGATTTGGGGCAGGGATGGGTAGACCCAAGCGATGGGAATGAGCAAAAGATGAAGCTGGAAATGACACACACACACACACACGCACCCCTAGGGGACTAAGACCAGAGGGGACTTGGTATGAAAGAGGAAAAAAGGGGAGATGCGGGGAGAAAACGAAAACGGCCCTGACGGTTGAAAGTGCGTGGTGGCCAACTGGTACGGCAGCTTTTAACACACGTTTAAACCGCAAGCTGACTGCTAATCACACTAAAGACGCATGGATAAGCGAAGGGGCTAGATGCGGCGATCCACTTTCCAGTACCCCACTTGTGTGTCTGGGATGCCTGGAACGGGTCCCATAAGTGCGGCCAAATTATGATTCATATATCGCCTACACATATCGCTGGCCTATCTCCATGAACATGGCTAACCAACGAGTGTTGTTGATGGCCCAATGAACTACAGCTTACCGAAGTCCAGCCGATGGCTAAGCAGGTCGGAGAGGAGGTCCAGCTTCCCCTCATTCAGCAGCCCAGAAATGTATGTGCGCGACTTTGGATCTTTGTCCCAATTAAGCCATTGCTCAACCAAGGGATACACCGCAGATGGCGTGGCAGCAGCAGCTGAGGGCGCAATACGAGGCCTGCAAAGCCCTCAGCCATTGTGTAAGTGATGAGGATGACAGCTATATGTGGAATTTGTTGAAACGGGTCTGAGTTCGTGTACCTGCCCACATCGGAAGCGCGAGCGAGTCTACTCCGCTGAACTTGAGGCGAGACTTTCCAATTAAGTGCCATTGTACATAAAGTGGAGAGTTCAGAAAAACGTTCATCATAGCTTGTTATGGCAAAACCGTGACAAGCAAAGGCCAAACTGACGGTTGTTGGTTAGTTACAACTGACAAGCTCCGCACAAGTACGGGGGGCATCCGTAAAAGCCGGGACCCCCATGGACAGTCAGTTATCGTTATTGCGGCGCCAAGTAAGGACGTGGTTGTCCTCCCCCCCCCCCCCCCGCGTGAGCTCGACGCGCCTGAGTGCGGCGTGCCTGGCCTCCCTGACAAAACTAGTCACAGCTATGGGGATCTTCCTCCATAGTAGTTCACATTTTTGAGCCCTCAGAAGCCAATGTTCCCATCCTATTTAAGCTGAAATCCCCCATGTGCGGGGCACTAACAAAAAACACGTCAGCTCGTCCTCAACCGCTGGACAGTCACAAAGCCTGCGGGTACGTGCGGCACGTCCACGGCCATTTAGGCGTGATTAACTCCTAATTTCCCAAAACCTTATCGAAACGCATGTCCACCCGGTGCAATGGCCGGCGGCAGCACAGCCCCAACGTGAGCGGGCCAGCCCGACCTTGCTCCCCTACGACTAGGAGATACTCCCCCCTTACAGTTGCTCCAATGTGCCTCAATAGCCCGATCCCGTGACTCCGGCGGGAACTCCAGCGGGTCGGCTATAGGGTGTCAGCGCGCATCCATCCCGCATCAAGCCGCTTTTGAACACCACCAATAATAAAAAGTTTAACGATAGCATAGTACTTATCATTTGAAGTATGGCATACAATACATGTAAATTGCCATATACAGCCCAGGTAAATGTGTTTTGCTTCGTCCGGGGCTTGCGTGCTGGTCCGGGCATGTCCAGGATCGCAGCGTGCGCACTGGGCACGTGACTGAGATCTCTCCTTGGATCTAGATCCAATGCAAAGCCAAGCCATGCCCCGTCCTGATATAAAGTACTGTGAAATATATTGGCCACTCCTTCCAGTCTCCTAGCCGGTCTATCCAAAGTCCCGGTTGGCGGGCCCTGCCTGTGGCATGAACCAGCAAAAGCTACTGGGTGCTACGGGGAGGGTTCGGAGCGGACAGGCTATAACCAACCGGCCGGTTTCGGGTCGTGCTACCGGCTGAAACTAACCGGTCAGTTGACCGACCTGTCGCTACGTTTACCGACAGGGTCGTTTGGGTCACTGGTCGTGGCGCTGACCTGTCTGATCCATATATGTGTGTGTGTGTGTGAGTTACATGGTTGGGGGTGTGTGACCCCATACCTGTATAAGTACCCATACGAGCCGAAGGCCCAAGGGCAACATCTATATGCCTGAAAGCCACGGAGAACAGGAAACACCGCACATCAGCCCAGACTTAGCGTCCAAAGGGGGTAACTGAGTTTCGGTGAGCCCACATACGTTCCAACATCCTCGTCAAACGTAATGGTTCCCATTTGATCCATATGGGTTGGATAGCTGAGTCCCCCGGGGCCGGCTTTGGGTTGCAGTACAGTGCCGTTCAGCGGGCTGCTGCTGCTGCCAGTATCAGTGATACTGTTCCCCAAACGCCCGTTACAGCGCGTGACCCCGCCGAAGATATCTAGACTTGCGTGAACCATCTACATGCTGGTGTCAAAGTCACGACGGGCGTTTGAAGTCTGAGATGGTTACGCTTCGGTTCTGGCGATGAGTGCCTCATATCCGGATCAGCAACAGTGTTTTTCCTTGGGGTCTGGGGCTCGCTGCAATGCGTACTATTAGCATCAGCAGCTTACAGGCATAACCACAATAAAAAACCCAACCAAAAAGGGAGAGCCGCTTTATTACCTTCGCAAAGCTAAGGGAAATGGGCACAGGTGAAACTAAATACATTTTTGGTCCCTTAGGATGGACATATAAAACTCAACATCATTCAAAATGTTTTCCTCATCAACATCGTACGTTCAGGCGGGACATACCGACAGCGACGAATACCGACTGCACGTCTTCTTCATGACTATCGGAAAAGCTTTATTGACCTCAAATTGTTTTTTATTGTATCGTCATCTCACTTCCAGACCGCCAGATTTTCCACCCAGGAAGCTTCTGTCACACCATGGCCTTGCTTGCTCAGGTTGTCGATTCCGATCAGGTTGTCGATTTCGTCATGCCCCGCCGTACATCATCGTACCACAGCGACTCCATTCCCGCAACCTACACTCATTCCACCACCTCTCAAGAAGGCTATCTACCAGGATGGCTTCACACATACAGTATCCAGGCTGACGGCATTATCTCATAGATTGCCCGTTCAGCGCGCGCTGATGAGCTGGGTGGTCCGTCTGCCACCCCAAGATATTGTCAGGCGAATGTTGTAATCATTGGAAAGTGGGGTTGCAGTTGCTGCTCGTAGATTCAATGGACTCTACGAATCTCCTTTCAAAGCTTGTGCGCCGACATTAATTGGCCTATCAGAAAGGAAGGGGCATAACGAACGGGGCATCACATCGGTTAAATATACGAAAGGAGTGAGTATCTTAAAGATTGATGTTATTAAGGAATGCCAGGGAAATGCCAAGGGGCGGGAACGGGAGTTTCTTGGTACTCCCGTCTTTGTGACACCGCCGACTACCGGATGGGGTAGCCGCGGCGGTAGTCGACTTACTCAGCAACTTGGCGATCTGCATGCCCACTCCTGCTATTTAATAAAAACAACAATCTTAAATATATATATATATGTATATATGTATATATATACATATATATATTTATATATATATGTATATATATGTATATATGTGTGTATATGTATATGTATGTATATATATGTATATATGTATATATATATATACATATGTATATATGTATATATATATACATATATACATATGTTGCACATGAACAATACTGATACATTTTTTTAATACATTTTAGCTTTCGCGCAGACGTAAAAACTCCTTACGGAATATAATCATTGAATGAAATAGATTAAGTAAACTCGTCTGCTGTGATGCTACTGTGGATGTGCGACAAGCCCGAGTGCCAGCTGATGCACGTACGCATACACACACAATGAAGCAGCGCGCCCCAATAGGTAACGTCCGATATTAACCGACTACAGGCATGATCCAGGCCAAACCTCCCCCGCCTGCTCATCATGCTTGAAACAAACAAGCGAACGAAATGATGCCCCAATATGCATGTAATCGAGGGATGTACATCTAAAACTGCATTTGTCCTCCTACCCTTATTTGCGCGGTGGTGGAGGAGACTTGAGGCTGGTCTTGCTGGGCTGCGGCCGAGGGCTGGCCTGCGGCCGAGGGCTGGACGGCAGCCGGGGGCTGGGCGGCAGCCGGGGGCTGGACGGCAGTCGCGGGGTTGGGCTTGGGGGTTTCGGGGGTGGTGGTGGCGGCCTAGGGGGTGCTGGAGGGAGCGGCGGCTCCAGAGACTTCAGGGAGGGGCACTCGTCAGGAGTGGAATCGTATCGGCACAGGTGAACTCTGAGGATGTCCTTGCCACCGACCCAAAAACCGCTGTATACCACGAGATTGTAGGCGGTCAAATTTGTTTGGCTACGAGGTTGAATGGCGGTGACGCATGTAGTTTGACGGTTCGTGTATGGCTGCGCCAATGGATTATTGTCCTGCAGCATCACCAGGAAAGGGTCGGGAGACGAAGATGAGCGGGAGATACGTACGGCAGACGTACCTTAGAAGCCTAATTAGGAGACGTATAGACGTGCGGGAGAGAGGCAATGAAGCATGCAGCTGTGGAGGATTATCATTTGTGGCATCAACACAAACGTCGCCATGTCCCTGTAGCAAGCTACATTTACCTTTTAGAATATCTTTAAGCTATTACAGCTAAAAGATCACAGTAACGGTACGGTCCCGTAGTTACGAACCATACTCGTTAACTATACACACTAACTTTCTGTTGCGCTATCACAACCTAGCGTACGACAACAAGACTCCAGGAATGGAGATGGCGGCAGGTGGGCCGCATTTAAGCCACCCTGGTGAAGTGCTTCGGCCAGACACTTTCGTATTACTATACCAATGTTCGGAGTTCAAGACTCTGCTGTCACCGTTCTCGACTTATGTCTTCGAACTCCGATTTCCCGTACCGCTTCTCACTCCTAACTCTTATCCGTCCTTCGTGGTCGAGCCCCTCTCCTCCCACGGCCTTGCAACCCAACACTTCCGCAGAAAAGCCCGAGGTAAGGGATGGCTGTTACAGTCCCCCAAATATTACCTTCATCCGTGTGCATGGGAACCCGGCTAACGATCAGTCCTCAGGCGGAATCTGCCATCATTCACTTTGCGTGCCAACCCACTTTGCGTGCCAACCCACTTTGCGTGCCAACCCAAAACGATACGATACATACGTGGTAAAAATAATAATACAGGCTTACCAGAGAGGCGTTGAGTTCATGAATATTCACTTTGTTTGCGTAGAACGTTCCCAGTAAAGCATCCCCGCCCTTGTTGACTCGTACGGCGATGTACAGGTTCTTGCCTACGGTGGGCTCGCTGTACGACGGCAGCCAGTCGGGGACGACCCGGAGGTAGTTGCCATCGGGGGATAGGTAGGTGGCGGGCAGGCTGAAGCTGAGGGTGGTTCGTACTCGCAGTCGTGAGGAATCGATGCGGTCACCTCCTGGCGCGGGTGTGGCCCAGCCCAGGTAGGCCAACTCAGGAGCAGTCAGGCAGACATCTCCTCGGCCCATGAAGGTGGAATAATCATCGTACTCCATGCCATTCTGCCATGCGTGTTGAAGCCCTGTAGGCCCAGAAAGAACGCTCGTATGGTAAATAAAAATATAACATGACGCATGTTTTGAAGCCGTGTTGAGCAAGGAAAGGAGAGCGTAGGTATGGCACATGACAGGCCGTCAAGGTATAGCTTTAATAGATCTACCTGCTAGCTGCTGTACCATATTGTTCTAGACTGTAGCAGCAATAATAGTAATAATGACATTAATAATAACATAATATAACATAATATAACATATATTAATAGAAATAATAGCGGTAGTGATAGTATTATTAATAAATTAAATATTATAATAATAGCATTCAGCATCGCCTGGCAAGGATTCCAGCCACGCATTTTTAATAGCTTTACATCAGATTCCTTGCATCAGGAAGATAGAGGATGCAAAGACAGGTGTGGGCATGATTGTAGCAACACCTGTAGACGCATTGTCGTACAGTACGGCGCGCACATCGTGTCTATCAATACGCTCTGCCAACATCTTGGGAGGCCTTTTCAGCGGCCAGCTACTACACACTTCTTCACCGCGCGACTAACGCGCCAACACCTTATCTAGCCGCCTTACCGTAGTTGTGCATTGTTTCATGCATGATCGTCGCCATACGCTCCACGCCATAGGGGATGCTCAACAGCCATGACATAGTGCCAGGCAACAACGCCATGCTCCCTGCGCAACTCCAGTCTCGCGGTATAATGTATGTCCTATGGGTGAAGGCTGCAAATGCTTCAGCACCTAGCTGCTTTCGGGCTCCGGCGTCCCCATCCGGTGCAAGTTTTATACCGAACATACACATCTGAGCGTCCTCTGCCGTGCAATTGGCCTTCACGGTAATTACCTTGAACGCCGCGGCGTTCAGGGTAAACCTCCCGTAAGAGCACTGCGAGAGCTGTTTCGCGACGCCGTTGCTTCCATCACCGTTGGGTCCAAGGAATATCGCACGCATGAAGCTTTCATTATACGCGGCCGGATAGCCGCAAGAGGAGTAGTCCAGGATAATCACCAACCGACGCTGGTTGATTGTTTTCGTGTCCGGCAAGAGCTGTGGCTGCGCCGACAGGATTGCGGTATCATATCCCGGCACTGGATTGCAGGTACCAAAGACATCGATGTAGCACGGCTGCGAGCGGGTCGGGGGTAGACCGTTGAGAGCAGTTAGGGAAGGGGTAATAATCATATCAGGAGCATATATATATTAATTCTGTGTTTCGCTCGCCCGCGGATAATGAACGAAACGGCTTCCCTTATCAATCAGGCCGCCGTGGCCCCACTACTACGACCCCCTGTGATCTCCGTGAGTTGTCCGCAAGGAGGTTAGGGACCCCTAGGACCACTGTATGTGGAGTATTTATGTTATAATTACTAATTGGGTTCGTAGATCTCATGACCCCTTTCATAGAGGTCTGGTTCACCTCCATACGTCCAACTGCTTCCGTTACCGGTCAGCAAGGTGAGAGCCACCGCCGCTGTGTATTAATGCATTACTTGCTCTCATTATTAAAAACATTCTAATCGTTGTAATTTGTTGCTAGATAGACCTGTGTTACTCTTTTAATTTTTTATTTACCAAAAGGATCATTCTAGCAGCCGTACGTGCACATCCAGCAGCTAGCGCGATATATAATGCAGGCGCAGGTAAAAGGGTATCAGCAGCGTATTGGGGCATGCATGTATTTATATATGTCCTATATGTATTTGTATGAGCATGTTATTTAGTAAGAATGAGAAGGGAGAAAGAAGAAGATTCTACATGAATATGTATGTTTGTGGCGAGCAACGAATTGGTGCCGCGCATTCAAGATGTCGCCGCCCATGTCGCAGCAGCTTACGATAGTTAACAACGCTCCGGGCGCCACCGGCTGTCCAAGCTTGTCGGTCGCGGGGGGCTCGTAGCCCGGTGCGAGGGGTATCAGGGCGCCATCGCTCTGGTGGATGTTCCACTGGGGCTCCAGGTTGCCGTTCAGGAGGACCAGCTCGCCTGACACCTCGACTACCGTGGGCGCCGTAACAGCGGATGTTGTAGCGGGGGGAGGTGGCTGCCGTGATGCTGCCGGGCCCGACTGCTTGCCCGGCGGCGGCTTGGTTGCGGGTCCCGTCGACGGCTTGGGACCGGGGCTCGGCGGGGGTGGCTTCGACTCAAGGGAGCGAATGGAGGGGCATTCCCCTGGCGAGGACTCAAAGCGACAGAGGTGCACCCTGAGGACATCCGTGTTGGCCCAGGATCCGCCGTACACGACAAGCTTATACGCGGTCAAGTTTATCTGGCTCAGGGGTGTGATGGCGTTGATGTAGGTGATCTTGCGGTCAAAGGTGCTCGGGTTTGCGTTGTCCTAGTTAAAAATTAACATAAAAGGGGCACGTGGGAGGGAAGGCCGGTCGTCGGTTATGGCTGAGGTGGCTGGAGGACAAGGTGTTGAGAGAATTTAGCAGTGTCGGGTGAGCAAGTAATTAAGCCGCATGCCAAATGGGTTAGGAGTGCTGCTTGGAGTAGAGATCCGAGTCCGCCTTACGTAGCTAGATGCAGCATGCAGGGGTCTCGTTTCTAATACAACGGTCTTCTATCTCTCGATTGCCGATTGCACGCTGCGGCAAATGCATCTGTCTATCTGCTTGCATATGCAATAAAGCAAATGGCGGCGGCGGTTTGGCCGCCGGTTCTAGGTAGACAAATTGCTTAATGCCTATTTGCCGTTAACGATTGAAAAACTGCATTCCACCCGAGCGGCAAAGCCAAGTAAAGTCTTTTTCAATAGTCGTCACACTTGGATGGATCGGATCGGATGAACAGCAAGATATATCTTGCTGTTTGTGCGTGAGCGGAAGCGGCGACATAACGAAGCTAGTCGGTATATACCGACAAAGTTAGCTATATAATACACAAAGTTAGCTATATAATATACATTTATATGGCATATGATATCTATGCTATGTATAGCTTTAACTGCACAACGGTTGGTATTACCAAGCAAATAAAAAGACGCCATCAACCCACCGCTGTTGCATTAATCTCGTGGATATGCAACCTGTTTGCATAAAGGTTAGTTTGCAGTAAAGCATCCCCGCCCTTGTTGACTCGTACGGCGATGTACAGGTTCTTGCCTACGGTGGGCTCGCTGTACGACGGCAGCCAGTCGGGGACGACCCGGAGGTAGTTGCCATCGGGGGATAGGTAGGTGGCGGGCAGGCTGAAGCTGAGGGTGGTTCGTACTCGCAGTCGTGAGGAATCGATGCGGTCACCTCCTGGCGCGGGTGTGGCCCAGCCCAGGTAGGCCAACTCGGCGGCGTTGGGGCAGACTTGCCCCCTCCCCATCACGGTGGTATCGTCATTGCACTCAATGGCATCCTTCCAAGAATGGAATAGACCTGCATAGAGACAAAATGTGTATTGCCGTATTATTGTTATCTATTTCAGGAGTGTGTGTTTAGCGGCGGACTAAAGATAGACCAGCAGCCTGCCCGGTAGAAGCAAGGAGTCCTTTTACTCTCCTCGACAGTCGTGCATAAGCGCGCGCCTACATAATCGCCGTACCATATATACACACACATTATTTCCCACATCTACGACTCATCCTTACCTTGAGAGATGCATGCAACGCCATTCCGGCAAGCCCAACTAATAATTAACTAACCAACGGGTGTGAACACACTTTCATCCAACTGATCCTCCTCCGTCTCCACCCGTCCACCTAGCATGCACTGCTCACCGTAGCCATGGAGTACTTCTTGCATAATTGAGGTCCAGTTGTACACACCGCCAATGCGTCCGGACGTTAGCCAAACCCTGTTCCCGGGTAAAAGCGCTATACCCGAAAACGCGCAAGGTACTCGGGGAGGGATCACGTATACAATGCGGGTAAACTCTGAAAATGCCTTCTGACCTAAAACCCCCTTCGCCATGGCGTCAGCTGTAATGGAAGCAAATGTATAGCTGCATGACTGCACCACCCCATCCGAACAGGCAGCCTTCACTGTTATCACGGTGAACGCTGTGGTGTTCATGGTGAGCTTGCCATGTGAGCACTGCCTGTATTTCTCCGCAACACCGCCACTGCCATCACCATTGGGTCCTAGGAAGATTGAGCGCACAGCTGTTCCGTTAACAGCGGCGGGTGCACCGCAGGCGGAGTAGTCTAGAATTATGACGAGCATCCGCTGGTGTGTCTCTCGAGTGTCCGCCAAAAAGGCAGATTCGGCCGACAAGACGGCTGTCTGGGAGCCTGGCCCGGGGTTGCAGGTTCCTAGGGGGTCCATGCTGCAGGACTGCGAAGGCATGCGACGGGATGAGCGAGCGAGTAGGGAGATGAGTTAGGAATACGTATGATGTCCCCAATTCTCACGGCCATCATTTCAAATTGCAGCAACAGCAGCAGCAGCGGCAACAGCAGCGGCAACAGCAGCGGCAACAGCAGCGGCAACAGCAGCAGCTGCACTTCTTGACGGATGCCGAGTAGCCAACAGCCACTGCCCTTAAGGGCTAATATAAGCTTAGCGCCGGCCGGCATTAACGGATAACCGACGGATGAGCGGCGTGTAATAACCATAACAATAGTCCCTCACCAGGTGCGTCCATGCCACCAATGTGCGGGTGAGTAAATCAGATACACGTAGCAAAACAAAACAGTGTAGGGCCGCACTAACGGTCTTTCTCGTCCCGACCTTATATATACATGCATGGCACACTGCATCCGCCGCCTGTACCAAGAATGTGCCTGGACGAATGTGGTGATGATCGCACACACACACCGCAAAATCACGTGTGAGCACTTACGATGGTCACCAATGCTCCCGGCAACACGGGTCGCCCTGAGTCATCCGTCTTGGGGGGTTCAAAGTTGAGTGCGAGGGGTACCATGGAGCCGTCGTCCCGGCGGATTATCCACTGTGCCGTATGCTGCGAATGTGTATTCAGGAAGATGAGCTCGCCAGACACAGCCACTGTGCCTGAGTTAGTCACACTGCTGACGGTATCGGAACCAGAGGGAGGTGGCTTGCGGGCCGCTACTGGGCTCTGGCGCTTTGGCTGCGGGCTCGGTGGTGGTGGCACCCGCCGCACCAGGAGAGACGCAAGGGAAGGACATTCGTTTGGCGAGGCTGAGTACCGGCAGAGGCGCACATTGAGGATATCTGTGTCAACCCACAATCCAGCGTACACGACAAGCTTGTAGGCTGTCAGGTTTGTCTGGGTGAGGGATGCGCTGGCGGCAATTAGGTTAATCCTGCTGTCAGGAAGTACAAAGGCTGCTGGGTTGTTGTCCTGAGCAGGGAAGGTCGAAGGGGGAACATGGGATGGGAGCCATCCAATCCTTAGTAACAGCAGGCGGCAATTGGGTATTGTAGACGCAAAGGGTAATGCACATTGCAAATGGGAGGGAGCCGTAACATGCACGAGTGGTGGAATGCGAGGAGGATTGTGGACGAGATTGATACCAATAAACAATGAGGAGCGGTCCACGGGTTGGCGGCGCTAATGGCTGGCGGCTAATAGACAGGGGTGTCGGTGATGTGCTAATAAATGGCCTCTCTGTAATCTTGATCCTGTTGGCTTGTTGTATCCCATGAGGGTGAATCATGGGATCTGACATCCGCTGATTGGTGCATCTCCTGAAGTCGTGATATAACACGGTCCCCCTGCTTGTAGGCCGTGCTTATTGCTTTGGTAAAAATCCTTTGTGTGAGTGCTACCCTGGGCAGAGTAGTGTCTCTGGTTGCGTGGTGTGCTGCCCGAGCGGTGGTACGAGACCACCAATACTCAGGACTCGCACAAGTGTGTACGACTGCGGCCCCAGTCCGTATTGCCAAGTTTTCCCGGGCCCGTTGAGAGGCAGCTTGAGGTACAACCATTGCGACCTTAAGCAAGTCCCTCTTCTGCCAAATCTGGCAACACATGCAGAAATAAATGATGCATTTCAAAGAAATAAATGAAACATTGATTGCCGGTCTGGCAAGGTTCACCTTCGCAAAGCAGGCCATTCAAGAGAGTGCACCTCGCCATTTAATAATGATCATCAGAGCAGCCGTTACTTTGCAGCAGTCCTCCGCCCACTGTGTCGGCTTCCTACGTATCTAGAACCCCCGCTTACACGACACAACACGACACGAACGCACCATGGTCGCGTTGAGCTCGTGAATATTCACTTTGCTGGCGTACAGGGGCGTCAGAGAATCATCGCCGCCCTTGTTAACCCGCACGGCGAGGTACAGATTCTTGGCCAAGGTCCTGTTGCTGTACGACGGCAGCCAGTCGGGGACGACCCGGAGGTAGTTCCCTTCCGGCGTTAGGTAGGTGGCGGGTAGATTGAAGGACAGGACGGTGCCCACTCGGAGCACTGTGGAGTCGATGTGATCGCCGCGTGGCGCGGGTGTAGCCCAGCCCAGGTAGGCCAGCTCGGGCGCGTTGGGGCAAGCTCTTCCGGTTCCCATGGCCGTGGAGGCATCCTTAAACATTATCCCGTACTGCCATGCAGGCCACAGACCTGTGTGCGGACGCGCATAGAAACGCGCACTCACGATACGGGAGGCGCTCCATCGGCTATGTTGGGGCGTACGACACAAGGCACAGTATCCAACAAACGAGTTGGATTTGGCCACTCCAAGTAGCAGAAGCAGCAATACGCCTGAATTACCAAATTCATCATATGCTTTAGTCGCCGAAACAAGCATTCGGGGACTGGCTACAATAATTTAAAGCAGTTTCCATTGCATGGCACCATATATCCAGGGGTCGACAGGCCATGCCTTGGCAAGAGGAATTCCTAAACCGAAGAGCAATGCCATGTATGTGTGTGATTTTAACTGGCCTACTTGGCGGACACCCCGCACAAACCGAGGTTGCTTCTGTCAAGGGATCCGCAATTAACGGTTTTCGCATGATCAGCACGTATTCATGGAGAAACGAAGGTGGTACATATCAGTCATTTTCTGTAAATGAAAACTGCAAATGAATGACGCGTCGGCCCTTACCGTAACCCGAAAGGGTCATCGCCAGGGCCGTTTCCCAACGTGGTACGTACGCCGTCTGTAGCCAGATCTGTTTGCCAGGCCTCATCGCCATGCCAGACCACGAACACAACGCAGCCATGCCAGGCGGCAGGATGTAGGCTCTGTGGGTAAAGCTTGAAAACGCCGCTTTTCCGAGCAGTGCCGTTGCTGCGGCGTCGACATCCAAAGTCGCTTGCATTACGGCGCAGGTGCCGAACACGACTGCTGCGCAGCTGGCTTTGACGGTGACCACCTTGAATGCAGTGGCATTCAAGTTAAGTTTGCCATATGAGCATTGGGTGTACTTCAAGGCGGTGCCGCCGCTGCCATCGCCCTTTGGCCCCAAGAAGTTTGAGCGCACGATCGTTTCGTTGAGCGAGGCACGTAGACCGCAGTCTGAGTAATCCATAATGATCACCAGCAAGCGCTGATTGATTGTGCCCGTGTCCGGCAAAAGCTGGGGCAGCGGCGATAAGACGATGGTGTTGTCCTCAGCAACAGGGTTGCAGACACCGTAGACGTCAATCACGCACGACTGTGGGCAAGGGAGGAATAAATTAGGACACGTTAGGTAAGGAGGGACAGGATAGAATTCGGTCTCCAGTAGGACTCTGTAGGGTAGGCGGTCTCCGCACGCATGGCTCATCAGTCAACGGAGTGAGGCTGCAGTAGCGGCAACAGCCAAATGGAGCAGCTAAATACATGAAAACCACTTGTGGGCTACACTGTCGCCGTAGTGTTAGCCAGGGACAACTTGGGCAGATAAGTGCAGACTAGTTGCAGGCAAGGACATGCTATTCTGGGCTTATCGCAGAAGCAAGTTAGGCAGTTAAGTACATGATGCCCCCAGCATGTATAGGGCTGGCAAGTGTCTAGCAGGACTACAGCGTGTTCGGGCTGTGGCTGAGCAGGGAAATAAAAAACTAGCTAGGAACGTTCAGCAAAAGTAATGTCACGATTTTGAGGATGTAGAGGAAGTAGAAGGCAAGGGCAGCTATCGCGGGAGTGATGTGCCGATCGGTCAGTCTGCTGTGCGGCACCACAACTTACAATAGTCACCAGTGCTCCGGGCGCCAGGGCCTGTCCAAGTTCATCTGTCTTGGGGGGCTCGTATCCGAGTGCGATAGGTGTCAGCAAACCGTTGCCCGTGCGGATGGCCCATTGAGCTGAATATTGCTGTTGGGTGTCTATGAACACGAGCTCGCCCGACACATCCAATGCTGCAGTGCTTGTGCTCGCGACAGAGGAGGCGTCTTCAGGGCCGGAGACCGCTTCAGGAGGCTCTCCTCCAAACGTAAAGCTACCGAACTCAGTGGCCTCGGCGCCCTCCTGGCATAGTCCTGTGGCATGGCGGGTTGTAGCAGTAGCATGGATGAGACAAGATGGCGTCCTGTATTTGCTGTCGTACAGTACGGCACACTTCGATAAACATATCCTTGAAGGATAGCCATTCATTAAGGCTGAGGACTTTCGATCGCAAGGTTTGATTATAATCACTCCGATTCGAGTGATCGAGACATAAATGGCTCAGACGGCACCTCTTGGGTGGACTAGCTCTTTCAGAAGAGGTCCTAATGCGTCCCCGGCTGGTTAGTGGCCTTGTGCCATAGTTTATATGCTCAGCCCCAGATTTGCGCCTGCTGATGGGGGCGGGCTGGTGATTGGTGGAACATCCAACCATGTATATCACATACCGGTGGATGTTTTTTTTCGGGAGACACGGGCCATCGGGGATGAGGCCGCAGGCGTTTAAGAGTATAAGTGCGAAAACAAATTACTGGTGACCAATAGCAGCTCCGAACCCTTTCATAGCTAATCCCCTTCAGGACAATTAACCCCGGGATGTGCTAATTGTCCTGGAGTGAATATTACTTTATATAAAGACGTGAAAAAAAGCGCATTCCCATCATTTTGAGAGGACAGGCCTTTCCGGCGGCCAGCTACCGCACGCCCCGACGACGACGTAACGCTCTCTTAACTGGGACCTACAGTATTCTCATTTACGACATTCACTTACAATTCTAAGCTAGGATAGCTAGCCATTCATGCTGTGGTTTTGGAGGACAACTCAACGGAACCTGATTTTTAACGCGAGTATTTAAAAAGTCAGCTGGTTACGAATGCGAGCGATGGCGGGCATCCTGTATGCCTTCCTACTTCTTCACGGCTGGAAAGAGTCCGAATAAAAAATACATATTGTTAATGGATATAACGAAAGTTCGGATCCATGATTATTGTTCCGACTCTTTAGCGAGTTTTCCCTGCGTGATACGTACCCCTGAAAGCCGTCAACGACAGCAGCAGCATAAGTGGCAGCACCAGACGCCTCATGGTGGCAGTAGCCTTGCTTTTGAATTACGACTCAGGGAGTGGTGGGGAATAAAACCGACAACAAGCGCGCTTCCCTGCGCGCGGCACACGACAAACGTATTTAGATCTCTCACGGCAGTAACTAACGCAAGAAGGAACGAACGAAGAGAAGAAATGAAAGAAGAAAGAAAGTGACCACAAGACATCACACAGGCCAAGTGGAAAGGCAGCGGGCCACGCGCAGGTGTTTCCCTGGACAAAATATCCAGTATGAACCAATTCAATAAAATCATACCTGATGACAAGAAAATAAGTCCGTCGATTGCCGCGGTGCTTGTCGCTGTGCTTTGCCTATTACATCTGCCGCACGTTTGTAGGACGGGCGAAGACTGGCGCTGTGGTTATTATAGCTTCCTGAACACCGTGCGATGCTTTTTATAGATAGGTTTCAGGGGTATTTATCGTGGATGCGTTCAGGAGCTCCTGTACAGTGCCTGTTGGGCCTGTTGGTGTGAATAACCTTTTCGCTGGTGCCCCTCGGTTCCAAGCAACGCACGATATCAAGCGCTCGGATCCGCCCAGCCCACCCGCCGGTAGGTTCTTTCCGCATTCGGTAACAGCCCTGCAGCTTTAAATTCTATTAAAAGATGGATGAATTTGAATTACATCACATACGCAAATAAAGCTTGACACATCTTGTTAAAAATATAGCAAGTGTGCGTGGTGAAATTAAGCGCCACTCGCCCCACCATCTACGACCAGCATCGCGTGTAACACCGACTGCACTTTAATAACCTACATTACACTAGCTGGCCGCGGCAAGCCGTAAATTTGGATCGCCCGCTTCATGTACGGGCTATCCGTTGCTATCCGCGGAGGCTACGTTGAAAATGTTTTGCGGGCACACGCAAGCTCCAAACTGCACAGCCTTCAGTTTAATTTTCTGCATATTAGTGCGTTATTATTACGACCTGTGTAATGGTGTGCGCACATTGTCAGCCTAATGAGGCAATGATACCTTGACTCGCCGCCGTCGCGAGCCCATGGCATCGCATCTGTTACAAGCCAACGCTCAGCGCAAGTCAAGGAGCAACGTCTATGTTTGAGCGGTACTGCCAGTGAAACTTACCCGGCAAGCATGCTGGCGAGAGTTGGCGAGAGTTAGCATACATCCGTCTGACGAGACGAATGGAGTTTTAATATATCGATCGGCAGGTATCCTCGCTTTTGCCACGCAGTCGGGCATGGGCTCTTGCTATTGTTTCCCCACTGAAACGCGGCGATGGGGAGAGGAAGCGGCGATACATAGCTTTACAAGTAATAAGACGCTCTGGGCGGTGGCCTGTCGGGCATCGGCTTATCAGAACCCCGAAAGGGCACCTAGCGCGAAACTGCTCGGGATGGCCTCGGGTGGTAAGGGGAAAGCGGCTGAGGTGGTTGGACGTGGACGTGGTTGGTGTCCATATGCCCACATGCCCGCCGGTGGGGGCCCACATTGAAATGAGGTGCATCGCTTGACTGCATAGCACAGTACAGGGGGGCATCATCCTTGATTCCTCAAGGAGCAACTTCATCCGGCTAACACAGGCGCAGGTCAACAGAAGGGCAGGTTAAAGCCTGCACTTTATAAGCACGCTTTTGGCGTGTTTTTGTTTTCCTGTGGACCTGCAGCTGTAGTGTGCCGCCCTGGCGTGTGCGGCAGCGCGGTTGCGGCAAGTGCACGACAGGTATTACTAACTTCGCACGTTATCGCTGCAACCGATACCCATAATTTTGCTATATGCCCATAGTTCTGAATTGTGCTTTGTGGAAGTGGAAGCCGGCAGTATGTGACAAGCGGAACAAGAAGGATGCATCGCAAGGTGACATGTCAGAAGAGAACAGCACCATACTCAGTTTGCAATCGCACGTGGGCATTAAGTTTTTTACAACCATTATGATATGCGGTAGATACTGATGTGCAGGGACCGGGGAATCATGCCGACTGGGGTTTTGCAGTGGCCGTTTACGGCACTTACAAACGCACGACGCGCGTGTTTATCAGTAAAGTTTCGTTATAAGCAGTTTGAGTTTAGTAATATCAAGTCGGCTGTATTCGCTTGCAAAGCTGGGCAGCTATCTATGTCGTGTACAGGATTGGTAGGCGTGAGTTCGGCGTGTACGGCATCACTCGGTCAGAATTGGAGGGACTGTAACATTTTGATTCGCCTCTACGCTATTTCTAGTTAACGCGAGCAAGGGATAGCGACTTGTATCGTGGAGCACGCGCGACTCTGACCTTGCAAGGAAACACGTGACCAGCTTTTTTCCAGCTCCTTCAGCTGGACATATTCCGAGTTGCAATTTGCGGTCTCCAATTGGTTGTGTGTATACTGCTGCTTTGCGATTCCTTCCGGGCGGAGCTTGATCGGCGAACCCTATTTGCGGCAGACAAATGGCTCCCGTCACTTTGCACCAGCATAGCGTGGGAACAGTAAAGGGACTCAGCGCCTTGCAGCAAAAGAGCTGTCGTGCAAAGGTAATTGTAGACCTGGTGATGGGCTTTCGTGCCGGCGGATTCGCTATGTGCTCTTCCGTGTCGGTTGTCTAGGTGGAATTGTGCAATTTTGTTGCTGTGCTGTCTATCGCAGGCTTTGGGCTCGGCACGTCTCACCGTTATGGCACAGGTAGGGTGTCAGGGCGGCTGTCGTGGTCTTTGATGGACACATTTGCGACAGCTCCCTGCCATTCGCTCCGCAGGCGACCAGTGCTCCGGCCGCTCCAGCTCCTAGCGACAGTACAAAGAAGCTGTGGGGAGGCCGCTTCACTGGCAAGACCGACCCATTGATGGAGAAATTCAACGAGTCATTGCCTTTCGACAAGCGTCTTTGGGCCGAGGATATTAAGGTACATGCAGCACGCAATATCATACATTTGATATCTAACGCTTCAATAGCTCAACGTCTTCTTCACAGCCTTCCTAGCACCACGCAAAACCCCTCCATCCAACCTATCGACATCCAGTCCTTCTGCCGCCCAACTGCCATCTGCCAGTCCTGGCGCAGATGCTCCATAGATGACCTGTTAAACCTGATCTGCGGTCCATAGACCCCCTTCTTATGGCACCATCTCAAACCGGGCTTCTACCCTGCCCTTCCACAAGCGAAGCTGCGTTCAGCTGCCCTCGCCTCCCGCACTCGGTCACCTTGCAAAGTTGCTGCACCCACCATCGCGCCATCATCCCATATCGCAGGGCAGCCAAGCGTACGCCAAGGCGCTGGCTAAGGCGGGCATCCTCACCCACGTGGAGGCCGCGTCCATTGTGGACGGACTGAGCAAGGTGGCTGTTGTGCCGTGTGTGTGTATGTTGGGGGGGGCCGAAGGGGGTTTTTGGGTGGGTAGCTGGCTGTGTGTGGGGGGGGAGGGGAAAAAGGGGATGGCTGGCTGCGTATGTGTGTGTTCGTGTGTTACATATCCTGCCGGGCCTGACACTGGCCAGGGGTTGCTGCCCAGCCCCAACGGACAAGGCCGCTGAAGCAGGGTTCCCCCCCCAGGGGAAAGGGGAGAGGCGTGAGGGGTCGCTGGCCTCTCCCCTGCTCGACACTGAGCCTGAACCGCCGGATACCCTGAGGGGTGCACGCAGCGGTGTAGGTCTACGAGGAAGAAAAAGGAAAGGCCCGCAGCCTCGAACGCTGTGCCAGGAGACCGCCAGACAGTAGCCACCGTCGAAGGACGCTTTGCCGTCAAGCTGCCATCCCTAAAATCCTAATGCAGAGCATTAGGGTGCTGTACACCCTAACGCCATGTCCCCGGTGTAAAGCTCAAACGCCCGAGCCACGGTTGCCTCTCAGGCAAACTAAATCCAACACTTTCCCCGCCACCTCTGATGCACCGCTGGGAAACTTTCCCTATTACTTGGTCAGGAAATTCCCTCTAGCGGGACTCGAAGAGAGTGTGTGACATCATCTCCTCCGCAGCCCCCAACTGCTTTCATCCTTCGCACGCCAGCACCCGCTTAGGTGCGCCATCAGCATTATCATAACCAGACAACAACAACAACAACAACAACATCATATCATCATCACCACCACCACCACCACCCACCCCCTCCTCCTCCCACCCTGCCACCCGTTTTCCACTTCCCCAGGTCGCGGAGGAGTGGCAGTCGGGTGTGTTCGTGGTGAAGCCGGGCGACGAGGACATCCACACGGCCAATGAGCGGCGTCTGACGGAGCTGATCGGGGCGGTTGGGGGAAAGCTGCACACAGGCAGATCCAGAAACGACCAGGTGAGGGGGGGAAAGGGGGGAGGGGGGAAGAGCATTAACCACGTGAACGAGTGAAGCTGATGCCAAGGAGGACAGACTGTGATAAGCGACAGAGGTAAGGAAGCAATAACTGACAACCAGTCGCGGTTTGTGAAAGAGGAGTCCTCGCGATGATGTTAGTGTCATGACGACGATAGCGGAAAACTACCTACCTACCTACCTACCTACCTAGCCGTTCTTGACCTCCTATCCTCTTTCAGGAAAGTTCCCACTTCCCCCTCCATCAACTCCTGCTTGTTGCTGCGTGTTGCTGCATCTTCCGTACATACACCTTTTCCCCCCCGCCACACACACACACACACACACACATACAACTCCACACAGCAATTGTCGTCCTCCCTACTTCCCTTACTCATCTTTCCTTTCTTGTGCATTACTACCCCTCTCTCCCCGCCCCCCTCCTCTCCCCCCCCTAGGTAGCCACCGACTACCGGCTCTGGCTGACCCATCAGGTGGCGGTGATGAGGTCGGAGCTGCAGGAGCTGATCCGGGTGGCGGCGGACAGGTCGGAGGCGGAGGTGGAGGTGCTCATGCCAGGTGTGTGGGTGGGTGGGGGTGGGGGTTTTGGGGGAATGGGTTGGTGTGTGGGGGGGGTCAGGCAGGCAGGCAAAGAGGAGGTGGAGGGCAGGATGGGGGGAAGGGAGGGGTTGGAGACTGGGCGAGTTACTGGAGGAGGAGGAAGAAGGGGAGGTGGGGGCAGTGCTCGGAGGCTGGTGAGTGTGGGTATGCGGCAGTAGCTCCTGCGCAACGAATCTACTGCGTGGTCATGGCCCCCTCCCTCCCTCCCTCCCTCCCTCCCTACCGGTGGACGGTTGGTTCGCCGCCGCATCTCGTTGACCTGGGAGGTGGCTGAGATATTCTCCTTCCTTGAACCCCCTCACCCAGCATCCCACCCCCCACACACATGCACATACATACATACATCGGCAGAGCACTTCCCCTTGTCGCCTCACCTACCGCCCCACCTACCGCTTTGGACGGGTCGGCAGCTGATCGTGTCTTTTCTTGCCTCGGAAGGTCCCTACCCACTGGTTTATCCCCCAATCCCCGTCTCCCGACCCCCGCCCCTCTCCGGCCCCCAGGTTTCACCCACCTCCAGAACGCCATGGCGGTGCGGTGGAGCCACTGGCTGATGTGCCACTGCGCGGCCTGGCAGCGGGATGACATGCGGCTGAGGGACCTCACGCCTCGGGTGGCCACACTGCCGCTGGGGTCAGGTGGGGGAGGGGAGGGGAGGGGAGGGGAGGGGACTTTAGAGGCGGTTGCTGCAGTGAGACACCATCCATCACCCCCCTCCCCTCCCGCATCACCTCCCCCGCGCTCCATCTCCATTGCCCCCCTCCCTCCCCCGCCCCTCAGTCGGGACATTCTTCGGGTTGTCCACCCGGGGTCTCCCCGGCCATGGAAAGCCCTTCCCCTCCCTTACCTGCCCTCGCACCCCCCCTCCCCCTTTTCGCTGCTTCCTAAGGCGCTCTGGCCGGAAACCCCTTCCGGGTGGATCGCCAGTTCATAGCCCGGGAGCTGGGCTTCGTGGGGGGCGTGTGCCCCAATTCCATGGACGCGGTGAGGTGGGGGCCGGGAGTAAGGGGGAAGGGGAGGAGGGGCGGGGGAGGAGGGGGGAAGTCAATCAAGGTGAATATGTAGTGACTGTAGGTCTCCGTCCCCGCCTCGGTGTTTTCGACTTGGAATCCGACTGGTGTTTCGGGGCACACACACAGCTATGGCCACAGCGGCAGCTAGGGGTGAGGTGGTGTCCTGTGTGTTTGGGGCCCGGACGCACCGCCTCTCCCCTCCTGCGCGATCTAGGCGGCCTTGCTATTCCTCTCCCCCCCCCCCCCGTCTTTTCCCCCTCTCCCCCCCCCTCCCTCCGCAGGTCTCCGACCGCGACTTCGTGATCGAGACTGTGTTCGCCTGCAGTCTGTTGTGCACCCACCTGTCCCGCTGGGCTGAGGACCTCATCATCTACTCCTCGGGACCGTTCGGGTACGTGCAGTGCAGTGACGCGTACGCCACCGGGTCCAGCCTCATGCCGCAGAAGAAGAACCCCGACGCCCTGGAGCTGATCAGGTGGGCTGGGGGGTGGAGAGGGGGGTAGGGGGGTGGAGAGGGGGGTGGGG